CTCTAGTGAGCAGACACATTTACACATGTTAGCTGCTGTGAAGGACCTGGGCATAAAGTGGATTCCTATCCTCCATGAGTTTATCATTAGCAAAAGACATCAAACTAGTTTAGGAAATTCGGAATCAAAGAAATTTCAAATCTCTCAGCCTCAGGGTTTTCCTCTGGTAAATGAGGGGACTGAAATAAGTCATTTACATTGTCATTCCTGCTTTATAGTTCATAAAATATTTTCACACTTTTTTTTCTTAATTGTTATTTAAAATCACCTTGTGAGTTCACTTAAAATCACCTGAGATGTTAAGCTACTAATCTGCAATTCATCAGTTAGTGGAGCCAGGGACTTGAACCAGATAGGACTGTCTCCAAACCTCTCATCTTGATGGAAAATCCAGTTACCATCTTACAAAAGTGGATTCTATCACCGACAACCTAAGATTTTGAGTGTTACGTGTACAGTCTTTTCTGTAGCTATTTATTATAATGAGTGTAAATTGGACTAAAGCTACCACCATTCAAAAAGAGGTAATAAATCTATAGATGATTACGAGGAACTAATCTAGACATGTCATGAGTTGGAGAGCATTTTCTGATTTCTGCATGCATGATTGTGCTAAATGTCTGCAAGTTAATAGAAGAAATTCTTTTCTTGGCAGGATCCATCTTATCCTTTCCTATAAAATAAATTTGCTAGGATATTTAATGAGAAATTATCATTGTGGTTTGTTCAATATTTTTGATGTGATCTCAGTGCTTCAATTACTCTTTTTCTGAGATCTTATAGCTTCCTGTTTCTGGAGGCACTTTATAAACATGCAAGAAAGAGAGATGGTCTTCCTATGGAAAACTTTGGAGATTATTGCACAGGGGTGTGATAACAGGGGGCTTGAGGGATTTGTGGGACCCTTTTGTTATCCATCTGAAGATTTCACCAGGCTCCCTGTTTCATCCTCACTATACCTAAGTGGCAGAAGGACAAGCCTCTTTTCTCTCACTTCTACAGGCTCAGGTTCCATGGGTGCAGAACAACACCCTCAGTAGTGACAAAGTCTAGAGGTTTCTCTCCCCCTTGAACAGCTCTGGCACTAACCCAGCAGTAATGTGTTCTATGGGGAGGGAAGTGGGAGTATGGATGAGCAGGAAAAATGAGGTCAGCTTTCAGAGCAGTCAACCATCTCTGATGAGCTGACTAGACTGTGAACTGCAGATTATTTACTGCAGGGAGATGTCCACAACAGGAGACACTCAGTCTGGCCAGACCCTGGGTCCCTCCCCCAGGGCATCAGGATGACATGGTCACAACATAGAGGACACTAACTCATAGCCAGGTCCCAAATCTCTTTATCCCAGAGAGATTTCCTCTGGTCCCTCTGAATATTACCCAGGGGAAATGCAAGTATTGGTCCATACTGGAATGGGAAAAAGACAGTAAAATTTATCTGGGACCATCTCAAGTTGGTAGCTTGTATGAGTCATCTTTATGTCTAGCTTTAAGCCATACTAGCCACCTTTGCCCCAATTCCTTCTACATTCTGTCAGAGGCCATGCATCTCTCTACCTTTGCATTCACCTACCTGCCCCATAATGAGCAGTACAACTGCCTTCTCCTTCACTATGAGGAACACAGGCCAGGAACCTGGGTTTCTAGGCCAGGGTAGTAGCCCCACCCAACATCCAGCACAGTGCATGGTAATTGACTAGGGTTTAATAAATACTTGCTCTTATTCAAGATATTCTCTTTCCTTTGAGATAGGGGGAGAAATAGAACTATTGCAAAAATAAAATAAATGCACCAGTAATCCTAATCTTCCTTTTAAGCAATATCTTCAGGATGTCCCCCTTCCTACAAATCTTTACCATACTTTGAATATTTTCAACAAAAGCACCAATTCCAAGTTCTTCCATCCTTGTTCATTAGCATCATTAGCACCAGTGTAGCAGCTATGTCTTCTGAGGAGCCCTTTATACATGCTCAAGGGCTGTGGGGTATAGAAGGTGAAATGTGAGTTGTTGTGTAACATGAGCACAACTGAGGGATGTGCTGAAATGTGACCAGGGTGGAAGAATGTTCACCTGAGCATTTCATTTATTCTAGCAAAAACCTGCACTCTCATAATCAATACTTGGTCATGTAAATATAATACATTCAGAGAGTAGGTAATATTATGCTAACAATAAATATCATGTTTTGGTAAATATACATGATGGCAAGGGAAAATGCACCCCATCTATTAGGTGAAAAGCAGTTCATAGAATGGAGCCTATTCATAATTTTACAAATGTGACTACATAAAACATTGGGAAGAAATGTACCCAATTATAACATCTGGATGACATTGAGTTTTAAAGTCTGTCTAAACACTTCATATAGTTTAAATTTTATTTGACAAAAAATATGTGTTACATGTATAATTTTAAAATATACTATTTAGAATATTTTAAATAAAAAAAATTCCACACCACTCCTCAATAAAAAAGGAAGTCATATTCTGTTCCTGCCTACTGTAGTTGGGATCTTGAATGTCCCCCAAAAGCCCATGTGTTGAAGCTTTGGTCCCCAGGGTGGCACTCTTTGGAGAGGTTGAACCTTTAAGAGGTGTTGCCTAATGAGAGGTCTTTAGGTTCCTGGGGATGTGTCCTTGAGGAAGGTTGCTGAACTCTGGCCCCTTCCTCACTCTCTTCTGTTTCCTAACAATGAGGTGAGCAGTTTTGCTCTACCACATGCATCCATCATGATGTGCTGCCTCACCACAGGCCCAAGAGCAACAGGGCCAACCAATCATGCACTGAAATCCCCAAAACTGTGATCCAAAACAAACCTTTTCTCTTTGAAGTTGATCATCTCAGGTATCTGTTTTAGTGATGGAAATCTGGTTAACACATTCCCCCAGTTTTTTTCAAAATTACATCATAAAGCCGCCTCCAGATATCATTGCTTCTTTATTGTATTTATATAAATTACCCAGAAAATTCCATCCAAAATCAAGTGACAGTTCCAACCCTAAAAGTCAAAAAAGGAGTTTTTTGTTTGTTTATTTATTTTGGTGTGAAATGATTCCTATCTGGAAAAGAGGTTGACAGGAGATATCTCAGGGGTAAGCTAGAAAAGCTGGAAGCAGATGGGGTGGAGAAACCCCCTGTGAGGCAAGGACTGGTTCTGGTTTCACAGGTCATTCAGTTTCTCTTAGCATCTTAACCCCCATCTGTGAAAAGAAGACCTAACATCTTCTCTGCCTACATCACAGGCCTGCTCTAGGGCTAAATAAAATGATGCGTGTATTCTATTTTTGAAACTACAAGGTACCAAGTAAATAAAAAAAGTTTGGCAATCCAAGAATGCGGACTTCTTAGAAAAAATAATCAGTGCTTCACATTTCTTTCAAGATATCAAAAAACACAATCTAAACCCCTCTCAAATACTCTTGAAATCACTGTGAATTTTATCAGCCACATCTGATTCATTTTGTTTCCATGTACCTTGGCCCACTGTAAAAAAACTGTGTTATATGTACACTCAACTTGTTTATTTCTCTCTTGGGCACGTGGGCAGATTGACTTTCACAGCTTCCTCTGCAGGAAAGTGGGGCCAGGATACTGGATTCTTGCCATTGGAATATGGATGGAAGCAAGATATAGCCCTACCAAGGCCAGGCTGGGCCCCCCAAATCCCCAGGAGATCCTCCACATTTTCTTTCCTTGTTTCCAGATCTTACTGAAGATCTGGACTTTGAGGCTCCCAGAAGGTAGTGACATATTTGACAGAAGAAAACTGAGTCCCTGTATCAGTGGCAGGCTACTCACCCAACACCCAAGATGATGGGGAAAGTGAGAAATTACCTGAGATTTGTAGGATCACCTATGATGCCAGTTGCCTCCCTGGACTATTCTACCCCATGACCATGGCCACCTCTCCATACCAGAAACTGTCACCACTCTGGTTGCTTCCCACACAGTGGTTAGAGTGAACACAGAGCACATGAATTTATCCCAACTTTCACCCGAGAGAAAACCCACCCCCCCCCCAAAAAAAATCAGCACAATCTTTTAAAATTCTCTGGCAGATTTAAGATCTGTTCTCATAATCTTATAGGGAAATGAGGAGGTTTGTGATAATATAACTAAGAGAAAAGAATGGGGAAAACACCTTTGATAATTAAATCTCAACAAAATTTAAGATGAGTTGCAGATAGAAAAGGGTTACAGTCTGCCTTGGGTTCAATCCTCAGCATCACATACAAAAATAAACAAGTGAAATAAAGGTGTTGTGTCCAACTACAACTAAAAAATAAATATTAAAAAAAAGTAGAGAGATTAGGAAGGGACTCTACACCTCATTTAGAAGATGTAGATAATGGAAGTAGAGTCCTTCATATAGTTAATTCTTAATGATGTCCAGCTCTTTCCACAGGTCGCTTTAAAATCTTGATTTTAGGGACCTACCATATTCTTTGACTCAAAAATCTCACCCCTTGTCTTAATTTCTAAAATCTTTGTTAATAGCACAATGACAATCTCTTACCATATGCCAGATATTGAACCATATGTCTTACATATGTAACCTTATTTAATTCTTACTACTGTTCTATTCACTCATGAGAGATCTGAGCCTGAATTAGGACAAACCCTTTATGCAAGGTCATACTGCTGGTAAGTATGACCTTGGACTCCAGTCCAAATATCTCTAGGTCCTATACTCTGAGTCACTGTTCCTTATAGTAAACCTGATTACCAGGAAGCCCTTAGCACTACGTGGACCAATAAGATCTCTTAGGAAGGAGACACTGAATGAGCAGAGAGAGGGTAAGAGCAGAAGGTTTAGAGGATACACTCTCAACACAGGCAGGCCTGGTTGGATCAGAACACTGTGGGGGGTCACATGAAAGCATCAGGCTCTGAGCAGTGGAGCTCCCAAAAGCAGAAGGGTAGATAAAGGAAGAGCTGCCCAATTCTCTACCTTGACTCTATCCAACCCTGCTTGTCCTTGCTCATAGAGAAACTTACCTGGTAAGGGTACAGGGTGACTCCATTGGTTCTTGAAAGGGACCAGGTGCCATCCAGGTATTGATGAGCCTGAATGGCCACCGAGTTAAGGATGTTCCCATTGCTGGGACTTGTGGCCATCTGGAGGCTGACCTTGGCCTGATGGGTGGGGGATCCACTCTTCTTTTCTGCCCCATTGCTGACCCCAAGGCTATTGGGCTTGCTGCTGTGCTTGTTGACAAGGCCTGTATAGTTGGAGGTGGCATATGGGGCAGGCACAAAGGCCCAATCCCTGGGCTGCTGGAGCCCACCCCCATGCCGTGACCCCACCAGAGTGGAGGCATTGGAGAGCGGTGGTGGTGATCCAGGTGAGGCATCATAGTGCTCACTGCCAGCTGCCTGCTCCAAAGTCAGCACCATCTGGATGGCCTCCTGCTTCAGCTGGTTCAGGTGTGTGGCACAAATGTCACAGCGGTTGTCTCGGTCATTCCATGCCTTCCGGATGGTATTGGGGACCTGGAGCTTGTCATGAATCACAGCTGAGAAAGCAGGATCCTGGAGAACACATGAACAGAGAAAAAGGAGAGTCTGTAACATCAATTCAGATGTCTTGGTTGATGAGTCAAAGTCTAGTTGTACCCAAAGAATTTGATTGGCATCTATCCACCAGATGGGCAGAAGAGTCTACAGTTGACAAATACATTACACAAATGTAAGAATTTTGTAGCGAAAACTTCAAAGGCATTACAAAACAAAATATGTTTTAAACATAATTTTTAAGTATTCTTACAGGCCAGTCAATAGGAACATTTCAGATTCATCTTATGTCCACTAAAGAATAATAGCCAACCTGGACCCTCCTTAGGTGTTCAACAGAAGACATTATTGTCTGTCTAGATAGGATGGTGGAGGAGGGTGAATGTAGACATTCTGGACACTTACATTGTGAATCCATGGTTCCTATTATCCCTAGAAAGTTGGTAATGGATGAAAGTGCTACTTGGGACCACAAACAGAGATTCTGTTAGAAAATCTTGATTTCATCAGCACCATATGCTAAATGTCATTGGAAGGAAACCAGACCAAAGCAGATTCTTAACCAGAGGTCAGTTGCCCCAGTAGCACAGCAAACCTCTGATGATTAACTAGTATTTCTCATTCACCCTCTGTCTATATCCATGTATATGATTTCCTGACCCATTACAATAGTCCAAGATTCTTTCCCCACAAAATTCATCTAAAACCACTCTTCAAAAATCCTAGAGCTGCACAGTAGTGCACACTTTAGCCCTAGCTCCCCAGGAGGCTGAGGCAGAAGGATCACTTGAGCCCAGAAATTTGAGACCAACCTGAACGATATAACAAGACCAATATGAAAATAAAAAATCTTTAGTTCAGAGACCACACTTAATAATACCTAAAAGAAATCAGAAAATGGATTTAATGAGGATTATGTCTCTAGTTTACTTTGCTTTAACCTTTACAGGAAAACAGAAACACACCAAAAACAACACTAGGAATGTTAATTGGGCATTGGAATAGTTCTGCTACTTGTGACCTTGGAGTTTGGTGTGACCTTGGACAAATTACTTAATCTCACTGATACTATAATCTATTACAAAGGTCACAGCCTATCCTTGTTGGTAATGTCCTTCCAGCTCAATGACTCCAATAGGAGTCATATAGAATCCAATAGAGAATAGTACCTGCCTGTGTGGACAAAGTCATTATGGTAAGTTTTAGGTTGAATAGGCTGCTTGAACTTTTGAGATTCAACAGTTGTTAGAAATAATTGATGAGGCTCATCTCAAGTGTTATTTTCCTTTAGGACATTAGAAGAAAATCTGCTCCTCTGAAATTTGCTGTTAATTTTTATGGAGCAGAAAATTCATCAGGGATGAATCGGGTGTATTGAGCTATGGGTGAGAGTGGTGGTGTGGGGCATCCAGAGTGGACAGGAAGATCATTGGTGGGAGGGTCCTTCTTAATTACGATCTATCTTGATTATGGGTTCCTGCATTTTGTTTTCCTTGTTTAACTACCTTGAACAGCTCCCCAGCATGCACTGATTAATTGATTAATAAATCAAGAGGCCTCTTTACACAGCCACAGCAAGGAGTGGCTCAGGAGGTAGAAACTCAAGACAGTCATATAAAATGATGGGAAACAATGGGAGGTCAAGGTTGATCAAGTCTCAGTTGACAAAGAGATGCAAACCATATGAGGCTTGTCTGGTGACATCCTTCTCAATGACAGCTGCTTTGTCCAGACAGTCTCTAAGCCCAACTTAGTGCATGGGGGATCTAAAAGAGCTTCTAAGGAATCATTCTAGAACAAACTGTCACCTCAACTCCAAAAATTTGGATTATACCTATACTTTCTTCATCACTAATCCAAGATTTTTTTACTTCAAGAGCCAAAGAGACATATCCATTAATACACTCATAATTTTTGCACAGAGATATAAGGTTTTATAGGAAATATTCATTTATTCAAAAAGAATTTATTTGGGTTTCCATATGTGCCAAGATATATTTTCTTGCTTTTTCACATAACATTACATGATGAGAATTTTCGTTATCAATAAATGCTATTTGAAAATGTTATTTGTAATGACCATATGGCATTTTATCTTTTGGTTGTTGCATAGTTCACTTATGTCTTCCCACATTCTACTGTATAATTTAAGATAATATGACGGGACTGGGGTTGCGGTTCAGCGGCAGAGCACTCGCCTAGCACCTGCGAGGCCCTGGGTTCAATCCTCAGCACCACATAAAAATAAATAATTAAATAAAGGTATTGTGTCCAACTACAACTAAAAAAGTAAATATTAAAAAAAAGATAATGAGAAACAGGAGAATGGTATTTAAATGCAATCCATAACTGATGATACACGCTTTCAAGTCACCAAACTATTTGGTTTCAAGAAGCTTCAAATTAATTTCTTATTTAGAATATTTTTGTTAACCCAATCATATGAAAGAAATGCTACAGTAAAACGAAGCTATAAGTTATATCCACACATCACAGTTTATTTCAGATGTTAAATGCTTAGCCTTAGATTCTGGATTTCATTTTAACATGGAGACACATCCACTCTACAGAAACTGCAAAAGCCATCCTTAGTTCTGAGAATTCCTTTTCTCTTCTCTTCTTGTTTTTTACTACTTTCCCTTGCAGCAGGTCTATCTTTATTGAACCTATTACTATTTGTAGCTCAACTTGCAACATTGAACAAATAGGTATATTGGCTTCAACTTGCCAGATACCTCACCAGACTGGGAATCTGAGAATACATAGAAGCAATTCCTGTCCTCTGTGAGTTTACCATCAGATTGACCAAGAAGGCTTCCTGGACTATCCCAATGCCACATCCCTTTGCTGTCACCTCTAGTCTAGTCTATAGCAACTCCCATTACCAATCCAAAGACACATCATGGAGCTCAATGTTCCCCCTTGGTTCACAAGATGTTAACAAGAACTCCAGTTCCCCAGGGCTCTCCTCCACTCACACATGTGCTAACCAAAGCCAGCCCTGTGAAACTCAACAAAACTATCCATGAGTACTCCAGTTGAGCCTATTATCAATATGGTGGCCACAGACAGACAAGAAGGAGTCCAGTGTGGTCTCATTGTGGAGGAAAGCTGAGATTGATTATTTAGTAAGTTTATAATTGCTGGTTGATGTCAAAAGAGGTGATCCCTAAGCTAAGCAACCCTCAATCTGAAACCCTATGTTAGTTCCTATCATCAAAAGTCTTCATTAAGTCAAGAGAGACATTTTATGAAAACTAAAATGCCTTTCAAGTGCTTGTCCACACATTATAAATATTTTAGTGCAACTCAAAACTTCAAAGAGGAGTGATCAACAGACAAAGCTTTCTGTAAGTGCTGAAATAAACAGGAGACTGCTTCAAGGAAAAGCAGTAATATACAAGGAAAAAAGAGAAAGAAAAGCATTGAGAGTCATGAATGATACACATGAACAGTGCTTTCCTGATATGGACCCAAAGAGGACGACAGTGGCCCAGGAGATGAGCTAAGGAAGCATCCCTGGTTAGCTGACACCAAAAGAAACCTGGACCAAGAGAAGTAAGCATCCAGTTTGGCAGGCTACCTTGCTAATGGGCCTCAAACATTTATACTGTCTAGTTCTGGTCCATTTTATGATGTTAGGAAATAGATGAAGCAGTGATGAACCACCCACAAGCTGAACCCCTATTTTTAAGGCCCATATGAAAATTGGCTCCTGGAACTTGGGAAACATTCTCATCTTAACTTTTTAAGTTTAGGGGGTCTGCATTCAAAATATTCTCATCTTTCAGGAAAATGTACAAAATCATTTTTGCCCCATCTCTCATGAATGGAATTTTAAAAGACATTCAGGAAACTGATAAAGTTCTTCAGAAGGAAGGTTAGGGATAAATGAAGTTCATGTTCAGACACCTAAATATGTCTAATTCATGAGAGCAAGGAAAATTCCATAAGATGTTTTTCTGATCCCACTATCTCCTGTACAGAGTATTTTAGGAAAATGGGGTCTCCTGTCACATCTCTCATAGTCTAGTGACTCATTTTCTAAATTGACTCCCATCTTCTGGCAGACTTCATTTCCCCACCAATTATATCCAAGCCCGTGGCTTCAACAGCCACCCATATCCTGGTGACTTGAAATTTTCCCTCTATCCCTGCCTGATCCACAAACCTTGAGCCAAAATAAACCTTTTCTCATTACAAGTTGATATTATCTCAGGTATTTGTTATCAGTGACAGAAAGTTGACTGACACAGCCACTTATTATACAATTATCATGAAATGAACTCTTTTGAAATGTTAGACTAAAACAGGTTTCCAACCATAACTGTTATACCTGCCTAAAAAGCCTCATGTGGTTTCCTCCTTTCCCTGATTCCTCCTTCAACTATTAGAATAGACTCTCTAGCCTCCATTAATCTATTAATCTTTTTCCTGAGTTCCCAAGAAAGTAACATTTCAATACAAAGGAATTTTTTTTAAATGTTTTAGCCTTCAGTACAGCTCATCAGAAACAAGACAAAGAGAAAGGAAAATTCCAGACCAGTACTATACTCTGGGTTCTGCAAGTTTGACTCCCCAGCAAGCAGGTATGGTGCTTATTTTCCAGGATTTGGCAATCAGCTTTCAATGCATGAGGAGGGACTGGTTAAGAGGGCTATGGCATCTGTGGAACTCAAGCAAGACAACCAGAACTACTGCCCAGGCGAACAAAGCTATTTGCCAATTCTTGTTGCTTTCTGTTCCATTTCATCCTCTGAGGGACAGGTTGCTTAGCAATAAATGCTAATGCCATTACTGAGCCACTATTGAGGACGGGGTTGATTTTCCGCATTATTTTAGCCAAAAGAGTACTTTGAGTGTGTTCCTCCAAAGCCTCTGGGTCTGTGATGAAGGCAACAGCTGGAGTCAGCATCCAGTGTGTGTTGTACAAATTCCTGTTGATGTTTGCTTCTAGTTTATTATTCTAGAGGCCTCTCGTGACAAGCTCAACAAGATTTAAGCTGTTCTTCAAAGGC